ACCTGTCATCTCCTCCCCATATCTGCACCTGGGTTCAGGCCTTCTCATCGCTACAGGAACCAGGGCAAAGTCTCCCTCACTGATCTTCCAGCCTCCAGTTCCCTGCTCCAATCCATCCTCCACACTACAGTCAGTGTGATCTTTCTCAAACTGGAATCCCACCATACATGTAGGATTGTTGTCCTGGAGCCAGACTACCTGTGTTCAAACCTGTATAAGTTTTGTGACCATGGGCAAGTTAATTGACCCCTCTGTGGCTGAGTTTCCTCATCAGTAAAGTGAGGATAATGGTGCCTGCCCCAGAGAGACTGTGGTCAGCTGCTTCTAAAAAGGCTTCCAATGAGCCCACCTTCTGGTAGTCATGCCCTGTGTAATACCCTCTCATCATCATCATGATTATGACTTGTTTAGGCACACTACTAGGCTAAAAACTCCAAAAGGGTAAGGACGGTTGCTGTCTGTTTAGCTGCTATATCTGAAGCTCTTAGCATTGTGCTAGGCTCACAATCTTACAGTCAACGATAAAAGAATAAACAGGAAGAAACTGAACTGGGGTCCTCCAGACTCTTACCTCTTGGGCCAGAAAAGGAGCTGCTGAGAGTCGGGGGGCACTCTGAGGGCCCAGGTGCTCCTTCCAGCCAGAAGATGGACCGAGTAAGTAAGGACCACTGAGTGTGAGGTGGACCCAGTTACTTGATTCTAATAACTATAATACAGCAAAATAATGGGTTGGCACTTCCAAGATTAGCTCATGGAAGTCTGACTTCTATCTTGCTCGCGCTCTCTGGCCCTTCTCGCTTGCTCGTGTTGATGAAGCAAGCTGCCATTTGTGAGCTGCCCTGTGGAGAGGCCTACATGGCAAGGAACCGTGGGTGGCCTCAGCCAGTGAGGAACTGAATCCTGCCAGCAGCCGCATGAGTGGGTTTGGAACAGATTCTTCCCCATTTAAGCCTTGAGATAAACCCAGTCCCAGCCAACACCTTGCTTACAGCATCAGGAGAGACCCTGAGCCAGAGGACACAGCTAAGCTGGGCTGCATTTCTGACTCACAGGAACTGTGAGGTAAAATGCATTTTACTCTAAACCACTGAGTTTGGGGATAATGTATTATTAAGTGATGGATAACTAATACAAGGATTAAATAAAATAATGCAGATGAAGAGTTTAGTACAGTGCCTGCTGCATAGTCGATAAATATTAGCTCTCATCATCATCATGATTACGACTTGTTTAAGCACACCACTAGGCTAAAAACTCCAAGAGGGTAAGAACGGTGCCTGTCTGTTTAGCTGCTGTATCTCAAGCTCTTAGCATTGTGCTAGGCTCACAATCTTACAGTCAACGATAAAAGAATAAACAGGAAGAAACTGAATTGGGGTCCTCCAGACTTTTGCCTCTTTGGCCAGAAAAGGAGCTACTGAGAGTCGGGGTGTGGCACTCTGAGGGCCCAGGTGCTCCTTCCAGCCAGAAGATGGACCAAGAAAGGACCCAGCAAGCTGGTGCCCAAGGTCCCTTTTGATTTCACAGCCTCCTTGAGGCCAGGGTGGAGGTTTCTCCAGAGCACAGGGATCACAAAACTAGCCCTGTGTCTGCATCACATCCCTGGAAGGCACAGAGGAAACAACAAAATCTTCATCACCAACCCCCTCTCCTGGCCTGCCAGATAGATGCTCCTTGTGTTGTGAACAGGGAGGGAAGAGGAGAGGCTGTGTTTTACTTGGCTAGGTAATACCACTTTTCTTGACTGAAGAACTATATGCTAGCGGGACTAAAAGTAGAAAGTAGTTCTCACCCAAGACAGCTTTATTCCCAGAGGCGAGGCCCTACAGTAACATAAAGAAGCTGTATGTATCCTCAATGTGCTAATGGCCCAATTATCTCCCTCCCCACCCTACCCCCAAGATTTTTTCCATCTACACATCACCCACTCCTGCTTTAAGATTCAGCTCAAATGATTCCTCCTCCATGACACCTTCCTCGTCTTCCCGGGCAAACATAGGTAGCTGTGCCCTAGGCTCCTGTCATGCCCTTGCCTAATGCCTCCCCTACAGCATGCCATAATCGTGGTCTTGGTGGATGCCTTCTTGCAACTGTCAGGGGGCCACCAGGCTGTGAATGAGCTCCTGGAGGGCGAGGACTGTATCTTATTGCTTTTGTATTCCCACCTCATCAGAGTTCACAAAGTAGGTGCCAACGCTGATTAAATTAGAGTGCTGTTGCATTCTGAATTCAGGAATGGAAGAAATAGACTGGGGCCTGGTGGGGCTCATACCTGTAATCCCGACACTTTCGGAGGTGACAGGACTGCTTGAGCCCTGGAGTTCGAGACCTTCCTGGGCAACATAGCAAGACTTTGTCTCTACAAAAATAAATAAATAAATAAATAAAATAAAAATTAGCTGGGCACACCTGTAGTCCCAGCTACTTGGGAGGCTGAGGTGAGAGGATTGCTTGAGCCCAGAAGGCTGAGGCTTCAGTGAGCTATGATGGCACCACTGCACTCCAGCCTGGGTGACAGAGCAAGACCCTGTCTCGAAAGAAAGAAAGAAAGAAAGAAAGAAAGAAAGAAAGAAAGAAAGAAAGAAAGAAAGAAAGAGAGAGAGAGAGAGAGAGAGAGAGAGAGAAAGAAAGAAAGAAAGGAAGGAATCTCTAGAAGGGCGTTAAACCCATTTTTGCACAAGAATGTAGGAAAGAGAAGATAGGAGTCATGTGTGGCTCAGAAGGCAAGCTCTCTGGAAGCTCTGTACTCCGTTGCGTAAGGAAGTCAAGACTGCAGGGCATAGCACCATAAGTCTGTGGAATTTAATCTATTTTCATAGGAAACCACCTCCCCTCCTCTGTACATTGACAATGACTCTCCCTTATTGGAAGCCAGTAGTTCTCAAAGTATGGTCCCGACCAGCAGCTCATCATCACTTAGGACCTTGCTAGAAATTCAAATTCTTAAGCCCTAGCCCAGACCTACTGGATCAGAAACTCTGGGGTTAGGCCTAGCCATCTGTGTTTTAACCAGCCCTCCGTGTAATTCTAATACTCACTTGACTTTGAAAACTGAAATTCTAAGTCTACTGAAACTCATGTGAAAGAGACCTTAGAAATACAATCCAGATTGATTTAAGATTAAGATTAAAGGAGAACTCAAGACAATGCCCCTTGCTCTAAAATGCCCAGGATCAATGCAACTTCCCAGTATTTTCCGCGAAACTGTTCAACAGGCAATTAAATCAACTCAGCACATTTATTTTAAATGTGCAAAATGAATTTTCATATTCTAAGAGTAACACCAGATGTTTTACCTCTTTTTCCTAATTGATTTTCCAGCCTACAGCAATTCGTCTTTATGTTTTCCAGTTGGATCCTAATGCAGCAAGAAGAGTGTGTTCCGGCAGGATTATGAAATGCCACGCATTTTCAAACAAGCGTAACTCGGGCAGCCATGCGTCATCTGAGTGTTTGTCTGCCCATAATATAAAACACAGACAGTTATGGGTACCAGGCAGATCAGAGCAACTCAGAAAAGGCCCTTTCAGGGAGTTGGGCCTCCAGGCTCTTGGCTGGTTGCAAAGCGAGTCCTGGGCATTCAGCCCAAGCCTGAGCTCTTCCCCCACTGTGTCCTGCGCTCCCTGGTACCAAAGGATTTGCTAGCTGTAAAACCTGCAAATAAACATGCTGTTTGTGGATGGGAAGTTTTGTCTTTAAAATGAAAAAGGAGACTGCAGGCTGGAGGTGAGTGGGGCTGAGGGACTGAGGAAGGAGTCAGGCAGTTGCTCAAAGCAGGCAGCCTGGATAGACCCCTCTCCCCTCGGCTCCTAGAGGAGCCCAGACAATTCCCTTCTGTTGGTCAACGCACCCACCCAGCTGAACAGGAGGTCCAGTTACTGCCAGCATTAAAGTGGGTGAAAGGTCACCACCAACCAGGTTTTCTTCACTCAACAAAAGCTCTTGGAGTCTGGGGTAAGACCAGGAAACAGAAGCCTCAAGCTTTGAAGCAAACAACTTCAAAGGAGACCTTCTCCACCTTTGTCCTGGGAATGGGGAGAAGGGGGAAGGAGAAGGTGGCAACTAAGTGCTAGAAACCCAGAAAATGCTGATTCAAAAAAAATGAAAACCACACTTCTCAGGCAGCTGGCACTCTCCGCTCCCTTCACTGGAAGCTGCTGAGAGCTGGCAGGTTTGAGCCATCATGCCTGCAGCAGGATTTTAATGTGGTCTCCCACTATAAATCAGCCCGTCTGGTTCTAAGAACCATTGCAGCAAAGCTAAGTGTCTACAATTAGAGCTCATCATGACTGAATCTCAGAAAGTGGCAGCTCCAACTTTAAGAACCACCAAAACAGCCAATGTTCTTTCCACAATATGGCCCTTCTCTGAACTTAGAATAAAGCATTCTAGGTTACTTATAAAGACATATTGGGATCAAAGTTTGATAATGTTTAAAAATCACTTCATCTGAACTCCCCCACTTCTGGAAGCTCCAGCCCCAAAGGTAACGACCTACACAGTCTCCTGGGGTATTTTGTAAACCCCTTGATGGCCTGAACGAAACCCAGTAAACAGGCTTCCTGATAGCCTGATCCCACACCAACGATTAATAAAAACGTTACCTAAATTTAAAATGCACAAATGATAACCTTCCAAGACTCAAAGAATAAGCAAAGCCCCATAACAGACTTAGACACAAGTGTTTTTAAGACACACAGATGAATGAAATCAAGATCTTCGTTCTCACCTAATTGAACTAAGTACATAATAGGTCAAGGTTTTTGCACTGGGTGTCGGGTTATCCACTCATCGTCCTCTAGGAATGTGACAGAACAACCTGGTCTCCCTTGGTCACCCAACCCCCAACCCCCACATGCTCCCAAAGGGACTTCATCCTCATTTACTACATTTGCTATAAGGAAAACGCGGTTGGCAAGAAAGGATCTCGCCTAGGAGAATGTCTCCCTTGTCCCAAATTCGCAAGGGTATTTTTACACACTATTAAACCACAAGAGCCATTTTATAAATGTCATCATCATAGTCTTTTAATATTTTACATAAAAAACTGTATACACAGCTTATAGAACTTTTATGTAAACATCATAAGCTCACCATTTTGTCATTTGTCAGTTTATTTAAAAAATAAAAAACAAGACAACAATTTAGTAGAAGTACCACTGGGAAGGAGGGGAGGGGAAGAAAGGATATACAGGGGCAGGTGTATTCTCTGTACAGAGATGCAGAGAAAATTTCACATAGCTTTAGAGAATGCCTTGTGAAAAAAAAAATATATAGGCCCCAATACTTGTTACTGCCCTTTATCAAAACTGTGTGCATGACCTGCACAAATAAAATCACAATACCGTGTTGCCACTTTCTTCAAGAAAACAAAGCAAAATTTAGTGGATTTCTTTTCCCTCTCCTTGTTAAAAGTCATTTTTTAAAAACATCAGAAGTAGATGAGGTTACAGCGTACAAGTGTGGTCAGAATGCTACTGTCTTATGCAAATGACGAGAGCATTAAGTGTCAAACAATGAAACAATTGTGCAAAGAATTTAAAAAAAACAAATTTTAGCCTTTAAATAAATCAAATAACATCATTTTCTTGGACTGAACAATTTTCACTTGTAGGACAGGCACAAAGTTCGCTTATGGCAAAAACAATCCCACAGCGCACCCTCCCTCCTCCCGCTGGTGGCTGGTGGAGGCTCGCAGGGGGGGCTGGCCCGAAGGAGAGGCTGTGCTGGAAGCTGTGTCCTCCCCAAGTCAGTTGCAAATGTCTTCCCCAGGGGTCGGAAAGATGGCCAAGTCCTGTTCATGCTTAGACGGGAGTCTGGCCCAGCCTGGGCCAGAGCGCTCACCCGTCACCACCATTAAATAACACCATCTTAGCTCCGAAAATAAAATTATATCTATATTTATATAACATTCCCCATCCTCCCCAGCCCTCCCCTCCCCCAGTACCCGGGGTCTATGTTACAGACAAGGGATATCAGGCGCCCGCTGGTGAAGGGCGAACATCTGATGGGGCGCGGCCACACTCCCGCGCCAATCTCGCCCCCGGGGATCAGAGGCGGGGGTGGGGTGAAAATGGGGCGAAGGGAGTCGAACAGACACACAGCCACACACTCTGAGGCCTGGCTCTTCAGAAAAGCATGCTCAGGGGACCCTTGGCACTCAGCGGGGAGCCCAGGCCTGTGCAACACAGCTGGACGCACAGACACTGGGAAGGGGGCGCCCGGTGCCCACGCCGAATCCTGGCGCGAGCCAGAGGCGCCAGCAGACAGATGCCAGGCAGTCCGGTGGGGTCCTTGTGGGACACGAGTCTCCCCTTCTCCGGGCTCGTGGGGGACTGGTCCAGGAGGGGGAGCCGCGCCGGCAGGGGCAGGCGCGACGGGCGCGGCCCTCATAGCACCTTGCAGCAGTTGATGCAGCCGTTCTGGGAGCCGTAGCGCTTCTGCAGCGCGGCGCGCGTGGCCGTCTCGAACACCTCGCGCACGCCTTCCTTGGTCTTGGCCGAGCACTCGAGGTAGTCGTAGGCTTGAATGCGCACGGCCATGGCGCGGCCGTCATCCGTGCGCACTGGTTCCTGCTTCATGCGGGCCAGCTCTGTGCGGACATGCTCGTCGCTGCGCAGGTCTTTTTTGTTGGCCACCAGGATGATGGGCACGTTGGGGCAGAAGTGCTTCACCTCGGGCACCCACTTCTCGGGGATGTTCTCCAGCGAGTCCGGGCTGTCCACCGAGAAGCACATGAGGATGACGTCGGTGTCCGGATAAGAGAGTGGCCGCAGACGGTCGTAGTCCTCCTGGCCCGCCGTGTCCCACAGCGCCAGCTCCACCTGCTTGCCGTCCACCTCGATATCGGCCACATAGTTCTCGAAGACAGTGGGCACGTACACCTCGGGGAACTCGTCCTTACTGAACACGATCAGCAGGCACGTCTTGCCACACGCGCCGTCGCCCACCACCACCAGCTTCTTGCGGATGGCCGCCATGAGCGGGCCGGGCCCGGGCAGCAGGAGGGGGCCCGCGAACGCCTCGCTGCCGTCCCGCTCGCCGCTCACTGCTCACCTCGGGCTGGGCGCAGAGGGCGAGGGTCGCTAGCTGCACTCGGGCCCCGCGGTGGCGCGTTCTCTCACTGAGCTCCGGCTGCCGCGGCGGGGGCGGTGGGGGCGCGGGGGCATAAGGCGCACCGTGCGTCTCGCCACGCTGCTCCCGGGCGGTGGTCGCTCTGCTAGCCCCGGGGCGGGAGTCGGCGGCTTTGTGCGTAACGCGGGCTCGGGCGGCAGACTCGGCCTAGCTCCCTCCCGGGTCTCTCTCGGCCTCGCCGAGCATACAAGAGAGCGAACAAGTCCAAACAGACTGCGGTGGCAGATGAGGGCTGCGGCCCTAGCGCCCGCTATTTAAAGAGTCCGGCCACTTTCTTAATATAGCCGTCCAATGGGAAACGAGCCGGCTGAGCTCATCGCTGCGGATCTTGGCTCTGATTGGCCGCCCGCTGCAGCCCGAGGGCGGGGCAGGGCCAGCTTGATTGACGGCCCAGGCCGCCGGGCTGGGAGAGGCAGCGACCCGGGAGTCTGCGCCGCTGCTGGCGCTGCGGGGCTCTAGCGGCACCGGGGTCCCCTTCTTCGCCGCAGCGTCTGCGCGCGGATTCCCGGAGCTGCCTGGAGCCTACAGGGTCTGGGCGAGCGGTTCCGAAACAGGCGGCACTCAGTGGGGCGTTGGCGACTCCCATTCAGAATTGCCCCTCTTCCTGGCAAACTCCCGGCGGTGGTTGGACCTGTGGGGGAGGGGGTTTTGCTCTTTTAACGTGGTTTTGTTTTTGAATAAACACACACACACACACCACACACTTTTGTTTCCAAACAAAAGTGTTTTCTCCTTTCTTTTGGAGGCGGCCCCTCCTGTGGTCTAGGGCCCCACCCGGGTACTCGCCCTGGGCCAGCCTCGGGTTTGGACCCGAGAGGCGACCGGCTGGCTGCAAACTGGCTCTTCCAAGTCCCGCCGCCCCCACCCTTCCCAACCCCCAGCTTAGGTCTCTAGGTGAAGATTAAGGGAAGAGGTGCGGAGTGGCGGAGCCTGACAATGGAAAGGAAAGGTCGAAGCTGGAACACTTGGAGGAAGTTACTGGGCAGGGAGAAGCCCCCTCGGCCCCGCTCTTCACAATGAAGTCTGATCCCGGTTCTTAAAACAGAGAACTGTCTGAGATAAATTGTACAACAGAATATACAGTATTGTACAATAGCATGTACAATATTCTGGGTTCAATAGAATCCAACCACCCCAAGACCCGTGAGCGGGCGAAAAGGCTCGAGGCTGGGGAAGACGGGCGGGGTAAGGGGCTAACAAATGGGGCACAGCGGGTTAGTGGGTGTCCCCTCTAGTGGGGCGCCAGATCCCTAGTCTCCTGATGCGCACTAGGACTGAACTCATTTATCCTATAGATCCTGCAGGAGATGACAGTACCTGTGATCCTGAAAGACCCTAGTCAACCGATTTCTACGGATAAAAGAGGAAGAAGGGGGTAGGGGGAAAGGAGGAAAGGGGAGTCGGGGAGGGCTCCCGGGAAGGAGAAACAGCCTGAACACAAGCAGGAAGGTGGGAAGGAGTAGGGCACACTCTAGGAGCTGCGTATGCTGGGGTTCATGAGCGCTAAAGCATTAACTGCAAGGGGTGGGCTCTGTCCATCCATTGCAGGGGAAATGTATGCAGACTGTTTTTTCATCTGAGGAAGGACCCACCACATCACCGGGAGGTTGTTGCCTCCTGTCTCCATCTCTGCCTCGCTCTCTGTGAGTTGTTGGAGGGCCAGGATTCTGTCTTATCTCCACATCTTGAAGACCCAGCACAATGCCTGGCATTTACAAGAATCAGTACATGACTGTGGAGAATTAACCCCAATGCTCAGAAACGCAGGTAGATCTTTCTGGGGGTTTCTTACCTGAGTTCCACGTTTTGCTTTAACAATTATCTAACCAGGCTCACGCCTGTGATCCCTGGGCCTGGGAGACCCAGGCTGGAGGATTGCTTGAGCTCAGGAGGTCACGACCAGCCTGGGCAACATGACAAAACCCCGTCCCTGTCCCTGAGAAAAATAAAATGGGATGGGGTGGGGAGGAGAGTGGCCTGCGCCTATAATCTCAGTTACTCAGGAGGCTGAGGTGGGAGGATTGCTTGAGGCCAGGAGGGCAAGGCTGCGGTGAGCTATGGTTGCAACACCCCACTCCAGCTTGGGTGACAGGGTGAGACCCTGGGTCAAAAAAAATAAAAAAATAAAAACATTTAAAAGCATCATCTAAGCAAACCCATGCAGCCAGCTGTGACTGAACCCCGGTGTTTTCACATGTAATTCATATGTTAGGAGGTAGGTCCCCGTATGGCTCCACAGATGAAATCAGATCAAATAAGGCAGTAGTGCTGCTAAGCCTAGAGCCCTTCCTAGAGGGAACGTCTTATTTAGACGACCGGAAGTGCTGTGCTTCCCTCAGACTGGATTTGCATCACTACAACAAGAAGTCAACCAGTTGGGTTTTTTTTTTTTGGCCGGTGAGGGTGGGGACAGGGGTGGTTGTTTTTGTTTTTCAGATCTAAGGAACTGATCTGTCAGCAAGTAAATAGTTTTTCTGCTCATTGATTTGGGGATGCAATCTGGAAGCTTTTTTTTTTTTTTTTTTCCTATTAGAAAAATCTTATTTACACAAATTTTTCTTCTTTTAGTCAAAACCTTTTATAGCTGTATTGTTAATGCCGCTTTCCTTGGTCTTAATATAGCTTGGGAATGTTGGCTGTGTCCTTAAACTTCAATTACTAAGAAACATGAAACAAAGTTTTGTACCATGTGTTTTTTTCTTTAAAAAACAAAGAATCCGGAAAACGGATTGAACTCATTCGTGTTCTGATTTCCAGGAATATTATATGAGGTATTCCAAGCTCAAATCTCAATATTGCAATAATTTCTAGAACTATGCAGTTGGTAAATTTGCCAAAGTAAACAAATAGAAAGATCTGTGTTCTGCAGTAACTTCTTTTCATGGCATTCTTTTTTTTTTTTTTTTCTTTGTCCAGGGTACTTTGACAAGCTCTGCAGGGACTGACTGCTTCCCAGACTGCCCCACATACAGGATAAACTTTTCCCAACTAGGTGATGTGCCAGACAAGCCCCTCCCTGCTCTTCACCCTTCATAATGCACTTCTCTCAGACAGGGATAAAATGTGATTCTTCTATGAGAACAAGTTATTTTATTTTTTATTTTATTTTATTTTATTTTTTGAGATGGAATCCTACTCTGTCACCGAGGCTGGAGTGCAGTGGTATGATCTTGGCTCACTGTAACCTCCGCCTCCTGGGTTCAAGCAATTCTCCTGCCTCAGACCCCTGAGTAGCTGGGATTACAGGCGTGTGCCACCATGCCTGGCTAATTTTTGTATTTTTAGTAGAGACAGGGTCTTCCCATGTTGGCCAGGCTAGTCTCGAACTTCTGACCTCAAGTGATCCACCCACTTAGACCTCCCCAAGTGCTGGGATTACAGGCGTGAGCCACTGCCACCGGCCAAGAACAAGTCATTTTAACCATTAATTTTATTAACATATTCATCTTATGACATAATATATCCACACCTGTGAGACAGGGAAGTTGTATTTCAGACAAAAGGAGGATGTTAATCTATCTCCAATTTTTAACCTAATTTATTTGATTTTGTTTGTTTGCCAAGTGTCTCTTGTAAATCATTCTCCACTCCTCAAAGACCAGACCAGAGTTGGAATTTTCATTAGATTTTAGTGCCACCTTGTGGCAATCTTTATGGGGTCTTTTACTAAAAAAAAAAAAAAAGGTAGAAAACCTTTAGTCAAAAAGTATGCATTTTATGGATATTTTTATTTTAAAATATTTCAGAGCATATAAAACTCTGAATAATGTTTTACAAGTAGATTCTTTAGAAATCTTCATATATATTTATACACATGTAACTTTTTCATGTACACTTTACAAAAATATTAACGAAAATGCCATTCAGTGAAAAAAAATTCCTTCCTAGTTAAACAGTAACTTCTAAAAGAAATTAGAAGAGAAAGATAAAGTCTATGGATCTTTACTAACTTACAGACTACAGGACTTCATTTTTCCTTAATTATAATGTACAGAAATGTAAAACAACTTTAGCCACAAAAATCATTCCATTTTTGCCCTGGTTAAGAAAGGCATCATTGGATACTCTGGTGTAGTTAGAAGTAATGATAATTCATGTACTAGGAACCAGCAATGCAATAGACATTCCTGACAGGCATTTAATTTAAAAACATTTCCTAATTTAGGAGTAGTTTAATGTCTCCAGGAAAATTGTCAATCTCCCATCTCTATGCAATGACCTTAAAAAATGGAAAAGTTGGTCAGGCGCCGTGGCTCACGCCTGTAATCCCAGCACTTTGGGAGGCCAAGGCAGTCAGATCATGAAGTCAGGAGATTGAGACCATGCTGGCTAACACAGTGAAACTCCATCTCTACTAAAAACACAAAAAATTAGCTGGGCGTGGTGGCGGACACCTGTAGTCCCAGCTACTCGGGACGCTCAGGCAGGAGAACGGCATGAACCGGGGAGGCGGAGCTTGCAAGTGAGCCGAGATGGCACCACTGCACTCCAGCCTGGGCGACAGAGTGAGACTCTGTCTCAAAAAAAAAAAAAAAAAAAAAAGGAAAAGTTACACTAGCTATATTATTTCATGTGGAAGAACTGAGGCATTCCCGTCTGGCCCATTTGGAGCCCGTTCAGTCAGGAGTTACATGGCTGCGGGGCACTGAAGCTGCTTTCTGGGTGGGGTCTCCAGCTAGGAGCAACAGCGGATAAAATATCCTTCTCTTCCCCTCAGAGCGTCCCAGAGCTAAGAAAGAGAAGGCTGCACTCAAAAGAGAACCACCATTGCTAGACTATTAAACTGAGGCACATGGGCATTGAACTCTGATCAAACTCCCACTTGTCCAGCCCAGAGCAAGGCCAAGAGGAACAGGCAATGGGCAGTAGGACCGATCCGGATCTCTCTAAAACGGCAGTCAGTACAGTAGCCAGTAACCACATGTGGCTATTAAGTACTTGAAATGTCACTAATGCCACTGAAGAACTAGGCTTTTAATATTATTTCATTTTAGTTACATTTAAAAACTGTTATTTGATTCAATTTGATGGAAACTTTTAGGTATATTTGAAACAACTTGGGTATGTAAATCTGCTTTTTCAACTGAAAATTTTATGAAATCTAAATACAGATTCTTTTTTTTTTTTTTTTGAGACGGAGTCTTGCTCTATCACCCAGGCTGGAGTGCAGTGGCCGGATCTCAGCTCACTGCAAGCTCCGCCTCCCGGGTTTATGCCATTCTCTTGCCTC